CAAATTGTGCCAATCACCCCTTAAATGTTTTGGTCCGTTGGAGCCTACTTTTCCACTATAAATGGGGTGTTTGGGTCTGTTTTACATATCACATTACTTCACAACTTCTACTCTTTCATTGCAAATCATCCTTCAATTTTTCATAGCTTTTGAGAGCCATTTTTGTGAAGCTTGTGTTGTGTTCTTGAGCGTTCTTAGTTTACTCATTATTCACTTAAAGAGAGTATTGTTCTTGAGTGTTTTTAGTGTTCTTAGACACTTGACAAGAGAAAGTATTTCTCTTGTTGCTCGAAGGAAGGGCTGTTTCCTTCGAAGGTTCGTTGAGGTTCGTGTGACTCGAATTCTCAAGTTGTACGGGTTTGTTAAGCACCGTTAAGCTTAACGAGATAGTAGTGTAGCTCGAGAGAGTCTCTCGGGAGGCTGGATTAGCCACAAGTTGTGGTGAACCAGGGTAAAATCGGTGTGCCTCTTACTCTTCTCTTTACTTCTCGTTTATTCATTTTTTATTCCTGCGATTTTTGATCAAACGCTATTCACCCCCCTCTAGCGTTGGTCTATTATTCTAACACATCAGTGGGTTTAGGAAACCCGGTGGGGCTGAGAAAACCTGCTCGGCTATGTCCTTCGAGAGCATTGACAACAGTTTTCTCCCAAATATCATAATTATCACCTTTGTGAAGATGCTTCGTCAAGGAATTACCCGCGCTTTCGGACGGGTGGATGTAGTATGGAGAGGTCGGGTCATGGATGAGCCTAACCTTCTTTGATCCTTCGGTAGTCATGAGGACGGAGAAATCACCGACGTGAGGCGGTGGTTATGCAAGCGACGTGGCAGCCGACGTGAGCCGGCGCTGGTGGACGATTGATCGACGTGAGCCGATCGAGAAGGAACGACCGTCGTGAGCCGGCCGGCGATGCTACAGTGGCGGCACCGTGCAGAAAAAAACGAGCCTAGGGTTTGAGAAGTTCCCGGGATATTGGCTCTTATACCATGTAGAAATTTGTGAAAGACTGAATTGATTTCCATTGATTATTCACAAGGTATATATACAAGCAAGTTTCCTAATACAAATATGGTAAGGATTACTTACAAGGAAATAAATACATACAAGGAAATAAATAAACAAATATATGCTAACAAATAGGGACCCCACTTAAGTTTTCGAGTGTTAGAGTTCCCACATCGAAAAATAAAGATGAGTATCACTAGCATATATAGAACGGTGAAGCCCTACCTATCAGCTTAAGCTTTTGGGTTAGAATTGTGGATCCCGACTTTATATGCAAGTGGTTATTTTTACCCAACACTCTATCCGTTGTTCTCGGCCCGTCGGAATTTTGACATGGTATCAGAGCCTCGTTGACTAAGAGGTCACGAGTTCGAAACTCAGCGCCACCCATTTTAAAAAAATTAAGGTTTCACGTGCAAGGCTCAAAAAAAGACTACGCCTGCATGTGAGAGGGCGTGTTAGAATATAAATAACTGTTCCTGTGCCACAACCACAAGCTTGAGCTTTTGGTTGAGTTGGTTCCTTGACATGGTATCGGAGCAGGTCCGATCCAGGTTTGATTGTTCCTGGTTGTTTGGATGTGGGTTTAGCAAAAAGGAGCTACCCGTCTGTGGTTTGGGTTGAGTTGGCTAAAAA